TAAAGAGCCATCCCTCTCTCCATCATTTACCAGAAATGGGCAAGTCCATATATGGTGAATGATGTCACTGGGTATCCCTGCAGACTGGCAAGCATCCGATCAGCAGGGATCCCCAGTGACATCATTCATCATACATGGACTTGCCCATATGTGGTAAATGATGGAGAGAGAGAGAGAAGGCTCCTTCCCCTCTCTCTCTCTCTCTCCCTGCCCTGTGTGACGCTGACATCCTCAATTCACTGGGGATCGCTGATGAGAGAGGGGAAGGAGCCCTCTCTCTCTTCAGCATTTACTACAAATGGGAAAGTCCATATATGGTAAATGGTGTCACTGGGGATCCCTGCAGACTGGCAAGCATCCGATCTGCAGGGATCTCCAGTGACATAATTTACCATATATGGACTTTCCCATTTGTAGTAAATGCTGAAGAGAGAGAGAGGGCTCCTTCCCCTCTGTCATCAGCGATCCACAATCTTTTTATTATGTCAGTGTGACACAGGGCAGGGAGAGAGAGAGAGGGGGGAAGGAGCCCGGCTGGCACACGGGGACGTGTAGGTAAGGAGAGAGCTGCTGCGCATGTCCATAGCAGCTCTCAAGAATCACTGTCAGTCACAGTGAGGAAGATCAGTGGGGAGGATCCCGTCAGACACGTCGGGATGTCTCCTCATTGCGGCGCTTAGCCCCGCCCACCACCTTAAATAAGGGTTTACAGCCTTTCTGTGCATTTTGGCTAATTAGAGTAAATTACATAATTTACTTATTTAGCCTAAGGAATGCATTCATAAAGAAAAGATAGAACCCCATAGTTCTCCTTTAATATCTAGAATTGTTGTGTAATGCACTTTTACTTCCCTGAACCCTGTTCCTACAGGTTCCAAGACTCCTCTCTCTACTGCTCCGGTGGTCAGAGGCCCATTGACGTCACCAAGCCTAATGCAGGGCCCATAGCCTTGCATTATATGTGAGGACACAGAGGGAAGAGGCCACAAACTGGGAGAGTAGTGGAGACGGGGAGAGCACAGAGTGCCGGGGGGGCAAGGTAAAGACAAGTAAAATTCCTTAAAGGAGATCTATGGGGTTAGGGCTTTTCCCCATAGTACTCCTAAGGGTAACGGGAGGACACAAACTAGCGTCCTCCCGTCACCCTAAGCTCAGTATACCCCGCGCTACAGCTCGCGGTATACTGAGACGCCGGAGCGGATCCCGACTTAGATGACGGGATCCGCCCAGCTGCGTGAGTGACAGCTGGCTCTGCCTATCTAGAGGCAGAGCCAGCTGTACCCGCCCCTTCTGACAGTCAAGCCCTGGAGGATCGGAGCGGGGAGGGGGGAATCCAGCCGATATGTGTTCACTCACTTCCTGATCTACTGAGCCGACCTGTGAGAGTCTCATTGTCACAGGTCGGCTAGAACTATGAGGATGAGTGAAAAGCACTCATCTCATAGTTCTCCTTTAACACGGCTATCTTAGACATTAATGAGCAGTTCACCCTGTCAGTGTAGGGCTAGCCTCAGAGCAAGGAGAGTTTTTTTCCACTTGGAGTCAGGCTTTAATAAACATTTAGTAGGGAGTCAGAAGAGGCAGACCTGCCCACTCAGCATTAACACACAGTCCAGAACCATTGACAGATACTGTAAACACCACTCACAAGGTGTGCAGAGCAGTGTTCATGTTGCAGGGTCAAGGTAATTGTTTCTAGCTTGTGAGTCAGCCCACAGCTGCCTAAAGCCTACTAAATGATTTTCTGATTTTAATTAAAGATTCAACCTTCTATTTCAATCTGTAGCCATCTAATTTGCTAAAACTGGCAAAAATTTAAATATCAGGTCACCAGTAAGCATGGCAACACTACTGATATTCTGTGCAGAGTTTGTGTGCAGAATGCTCTAGAAAGGTAGTTTTTAGTCGTTTTTTTCTCTCTGATTACAGCAGATATAATCTAAGGCCCCGTTCACATTGAGCGATTTATCGCGCGGTAATTCCCGCGATATCGTGGCTATTTACCGCGCGATATCGCTCTTCAATGCTTTGCAATGGGGCAAAGGGTCCTGCTGTCGCGGGTCGTGTGTCGCTACAGCAGCACCCTTTTTGGAGCGGATTTTGCCGCGATTCAATGCTTTTTGATGCAAACATTTGCGCGATATCGTGCAAAATGCAAATCGCGCAACAAACACGCGATTTGCGAATCGCTCAATGTGAACGGGGCCTTAAACTTAAAGTAATATTAAAGTCTGTTTTTTTGGCATACATCTGCTAGTAAGCAGTAGATATATTCCCCAACATTAGAGGGAAAAAAAAAAACAGTTGGCAAATACCAACTAACTTACCTGTGTCGGTGACGCTCACTCCCTGCTGCAGAAGTCCCAGCTCCCGAACGCTGTGTAGATGGAAGTGTGGGTGGGCACATGCGCAGTCCAGATCACCGGAGCAGAGAGGAGGAGAGCGACACTGAAACTCAATGGACGTAGCTATTTCCACACACTACACAGCTTTCAGCAAATTATGTTGTCTCTGCAGATGAAATCTGAAAAACCTGACAATGTCTTAATATGTCCTAAATGGGTTGAGCAGAGCTGCTGAAAACCACTGTGGTTTATAGTTACCTCAGATAGAAGTCCTCCACCACAGCCAACATCAAGGATCTGTACACCAGACAGAGGGCACCCAACATCATGATGATGGCTCTTGCTCATAAGAATATCTCTAGGAAGATAAGATGAGATCATTGCATAACACACAATGGACTGTCCCATAGGCATGTTTCACATACACTAAATATAACTGCAGCGACAGCAATTAAAATCTTTCCAGGTGAACAAGCAAAACAACAAGCATTCCTAAAAGGTATTCATAAGATGGTACTTCCCAAGATTATGCCCCCTGCTTGCCCCATCTGTCTAATCTCCCCTTCCCTCAACATGCAAGCTTAGGATCCAAGCACACATATTAAGAGTGATGGTTTATGCAAATAATGGTTTGGCAGTCAGAGCATCAAATCCCATCAAAAAGATATAGCCGGCCACAGATGCGTCAATCTTCTGGTAATTTGAACCACATTTGATTACAAAAACCATGGCAGTAGAATGGGTGAGTAACAGAGCCCACACACACACACCTTGTTGGCGGTCCGCCACTGCCTCCCACATAGCCGACAGCTCCAAATGTATGTACCTACAGTATGTGTATGTATGTATATATATCTAGATCTATATATAGATAGATTGCCCTCACTCATTCATAAGATGGTTCAAGCTGCAAAGGAAAGGCTGGTTTTACACTAAACTGCACAGAGAAGATCTTGCTTGGAAACATTTCTATATAATATATCAGACAGTAACAGATTGCACCAGACCCCAAGACTGTCCTCCTGCCTAATGAACGTGTTTCAAAAGGCAGAGCTGTTTGGATCTCCAACTATAACCATGTATGTATTTTGGCTCAGTTCTAAAACCGATTAAAAAAAAAAAAGATCAGAGTTACTATCAGTACTATAAGAGTCAACAGAAGTCATGTTATGTCTGTGCCCCTTCCCAGACCGTTTTGCCATGCTGAGGAGAAATGACCATATGCAGCACCTAATGTTTTGTATTCTTCCACAGTAACAGTTACTTTTCTGATATTGCATTGAGGGGAATTTATCCAAACTGGAGCAGACAGAATCAGGAGCAGTTTCTTAAGGCAACCAATCAGATTCTCTCTTTAGTTTGTTCAGTTAAGATTTGAAAATGAAAGAGAGAAGCTCATTAGTTACTATGGACCAGATTTTGTCTGGTCCAGACTTGATTAATTCTCCCTATTGTCTTTGTGTGGTAAGTTTGGGCTTAGATAGAGGTCAACACACTTCCTCTGTAATGGCAGAAGGGGCTGTCACTAGAGACCCTAAACACAATATCACAGGCTTCTACTTCATCTTTATCAAATATATATTTCTCTCTTCATGATTCAAGGGGTCGCAGGAAACTATAGAGAACATAGGTAACTAGACACTCTATCATCGACTGAATTTGGCAGCATTTGTTAAAGCTTGCCTACAGTCAAATAAGACTGTTTCCTTCCTTAAAGTGTAAACACACCCTAACCATGAACTGTAAAGCTGGCCATAGACCTTTCAACCATCGCAAGCCTTTTGTCTTGCAATGGTTGTAAAGTAATTAAAAAAACGTACAATCTGGCCAACTTGGACAGGCAGATCGTACTTGCGATCATCGCAAGCCCGCCCGCTGAGGGGCGAGCTTCCGATGACCGCAATGCTGAACGGGCAGTGTGCGCTTGCGCACACCGGCCCGTTAGGCATTTGTCTTACGAGCATGCCACAAACCTGCCGACAATCATACGGTTCTAGGCGGGTTTTCGAACATGCTCTTAAGACAAAAGTCGTGCGACCTTACAGTAGCAGAGTAAGTCAGCATAGTCAGCCGAAATACCACTGTACACACTAGAACATTGGTCCCCAGACCGCGGCCCTTTGCTTCCATTTAACCGACCCTTGGGGCACAACTCCTCCCACTGACACCAACCATGGGACACAGTTCCTCCCACTGACAGCAACGGTGGAACACAATTTCTCCCAATGACACCAACAATGGGCTACAACGCCTCTCAATAATGCTAACCATGGGGCACAACTACTCCCACTGACACCAATGGGGCATAATTTGTCCCACTAACACCAATGGTGGGACACTAGTCCTTCTACTGACACCAACCATGGGACACTATTCAACCCACTGACACTAACCGTGGGGCACAATTCCTTCACATGTATCCAGCGATGGGGCATAATTCCATCCAATGACAGGGCATAATTCCTTCCACTGACACTATGGATGGGGCATAGTTTCTCCCACTGGTTCAAATGATGCCGCACAATTCCTCCCACTGAAGACAAAAAGCCAGGTCATTTTTCTACCCCCACTTACTACCAAATCTAGGTCACTGTTTGCTGCCACTGATGCTGGGGAATTAACAGCTTCCACAGTCTGCCCACCTTCCCCAAAGTCTTAAGAACAGTGAACTAACCCTTTGTTAAAAAGAAATTTGAAGACCAGTGTTAGAAGTACCCCTTAGCTGACAACCAACCTATGCTTTATTTATCAGTCCTAATAAGACCATTCACGAAGCATTTGAGTACAAATCCACTTTAAAAGAGGCTTTAGGTGAGCCACTACAGCACTATGCCAATATGTATGCATAAGAGTATATACCTTACAAAGGGGACCCGAATATCATTCATGGCATGGAGAGCAGAGTATACTCCTTCCTCGTCCCACCATTTTGCTGACCAAGTCTGAAACTTCTTCATCTCTGTAGGATCCACTGTATGAGAAGTAGAGTATGCGCGTCCAAAATGACGTCTATTACCAAATCAAAAACAAAAAAAAGGAAAAATGTTGCTTTGTTAATAAGATGCTTTTTAATAGAAAACAGTTATTACAATAATTTAGACACAGACAACCACAACGCTTTGGGGCTGTATGTTCAATTAAATCTGGTGAACCGTAGGAAAACACAATATTACAGCTGCAAGAAAAGGAAAACTACAAAACAAAACCACAGCAGCTGCAAACTAATAATTGGAAGTTAAATGATGTTGCTTAAAGAAGAACTATGAGGTCAGTGCTTTTCCCCATAGCTCTCCCCAGGGTCAAGGGAGGACACAAACTAGCGTCCTTCCGTGACCCAAAGATCAGTATACTGCGAGCTACAACTGAGATCGCCGCAGCCGGGATGGATCCCGACATTACTGTCGAGATCCACCCAGCTGCGTTATTGACAGCTGGCTCTGCCTATCTAGAGGCAGAGCCAGCTGTACCCGCCCCCAGTCAGCGCTGGAGGATCGGACAGGGGAGGGGGAATCCCTGCAAGGAGCCGTGAGTGACAGTCACGGCTCTCTGCAGGGAGATGATCGAGAAGTGAGTGAGCGACAGTATGTGTTCGCTCACTTCCCGATCTATTGAGCCGACGTGTGAGTTTCATTGTCACAGGTCGGCTAGAACTATGAGGCTGAGTGAAAATCACTCATCTCATAGTTCTCCTTTAAAGCTCAACTCGAGACAATTGTTTTTTATTTTAGTTTTGGAATGTCACCATTGGGGAGAATTCACCTTACTTCCTTTTTCTCTGACAGCAGGACATGAAAGGAGGGGAGTAGTTGTCCACAACAGGAAGTAATAATCTAACAGAGGTTCTTAACTATCTCCAGCTTATTAAAATAAATGTGCTATTGTAATGTTCTGTATGTCCCTACTGAAAAGATTTCCTTTTACTTGCTGCCTCTACAGGCACAGACTTCCAAAGAATTATGACAGAGGTTATATGCCTTTCCCAACTAAAAAAAAAAAAAAGGCTTGGGTGGAGTTGTTCTTAAAGTAAAACATTATAAAATTGAAAGTACATGGTTAAAAGGAGAACTATGAGATGAGTGATTTCCACTCACCTCATAGTTCTAGCCGACCTGTGACAATGAGACTGTCACAGGTCGGCTCAGTAGATCGGGAAGTGAGCGACACATACCGGGTTCGCTCGCCTCTCGATCCTGTCATGGCTCTCTGCAGTGACAGGGGGAGGGGCAGGATTCCCCTCTCCCCGCTCCGATCTGCCAGCGCTGACTGGCGGAACGGACGGGGGAGGGGGCGGGTACAGCTGGCTCTGCCTCTAGATAGGCAGAGCCAGCTGTCACTCACGCAGCTGGGCGGATCCAGTCATCTAAGTCGGGATCCGCTCCGGCTGCGGCGTCTCAGTATACCGCGAGCTGTAGCTCGCGGTATACTGAGCTTAGGGTAATGGGAGGACGCTAGTTTGTGTCCTCCCATTACCCTAAGGAGAACTATGTGGAAAAGCCCTGACCCCATAGTTCTCCTTTAACAAAAGAAAAAGTACAGAACAAAGGAATATAACGAAAATAAGAAACAAACCCAAAGCTTACAGTGTTCTTGTTCGGGCGGCTGTGCTGGCATTTCTGCTTCCTTGGTTACAATACGATAACTTTTGAAACAGAGGGAATAAACTGGCAACTGTTGACAAAAATGACAAATGACATTAAAGTTAATATTAAACAAACGTCTACATACTGATTTAAAGAAGCACAAGTGAACGCTCCCTATTACTGTAATGCAGACAGGCTGTATATACAGCCGGAGTTTTGCTACCCCTGATCTAGACGATAAAGCATGCAACTGCAAAGGTGAAAAACACTAAGGGGGGGCAGAGACAGGAAGTATAGCATGTAGAGATGATGTTACTGAAGTCTCCCCGACACTGTGTATGCTCCCTATTTGTCATGTACCTAGACCCCCTTCTGTGTACAGTTGCTTCAAGTCTAGTGTGCGCTCATCAATTTCCAATGTCGTCGGGTATACAAAATCTACCCAGGATCCTTAGCAGCTGTCCTGTGGGAGCTTTCTTGGCATCTCAGTGCACTTGCACAGAGTTCTACATAAGCATACGTGTCTTGTTTCCAAGGCTCTGTAATGGCTTCAAGAACAACTGTGCAGGCCACAACAGGTGGGATGTATCGGTTCTACTTCAGTGATAGAAGGTAGCATTGGGGAGGGTAGGCACGTGTCCTGAGACCTCTATGTATTGTGATTGGTTATTGTGAATGTTTGTTCTGATTTCAGATACGGTTTCACAGTTGTTGGATCCTACCATTTGGCTTTGGACCTTTCCCCCCTCAAACACAAAAAGCTCTGGTTCATGCAGCTCTGCATGCTGATATGAAAGCATTTCACACCCTATGCTTATTAAAAGATGTCTTTGTGTTTATACCTTTTATGAATTTCCACTTTCTTGTTTCCCAAGGCACTGGTGATGTAGCTCCGCCTTCACAGACATCCCTTGGGAAGGTCACCAGTGCCTTCCAGAGTGATCTCATTTGAAAATTGTGAAATCTCGTGAGATGTCAGAAAGGTTTTTTTTCCACCATATAGATGGTCAGATGGTGCCAGATGTCATACTGCACATACATCAGATCTGGCACCTACTTCATTGGTGGGCCAGCGCATAAAACGCAATAGGAAGAAGAAACCAGCCTCTGATAATGCCCGCTTTGAAGATGATGGCACGATTTTTCCGGGAGGGGGTGCAAAGCATTATGGCAAAAATGGGAACTTTTATTGCTCAGCATAATTTTGCATTGCAATACAGTGCTGCGAACTTCAATGGACGCGTCTGGGAGCGGCAATGCCTGCCAACCGCGACATGCATAATATTTACCGCAGCTGCAAAGCATAGCCTCATGTGTACCAGTCCGAGCAGCCGCCATGTTAGGTTTTAGGTGGACAGTAAACAAAAACTCAGATCGACCACTGTAAGTGAGGCCTTAGAGGCATTTTCTATTTGTGATACCTCTGAATGCAGCTTTATTTAATCAATACGTTGTGCACATTGTGACATGTAGAGCAGCATTCACAGGAATACAAAAAAGACACAAACCTGCACTTGGAGGAGCTTACTGGCATACTTGCAGGTGTACATTCATTCCAGTACAGGTGTACGCAATATCAGCACTCCAAACTACAAATCCCATGATGCCTCTGTGACTGTCAGTTTTGCAAAGCCTCATGGGATTTGGAGTTCCACAACAGCTGAAGGGCTGAGGTTGCCTACCCCTGTTCTAGTGGCTAGAATAAATGAGTATTCTAGCTAACAGAATAAGTTTACGCACATACGCCTCTGAACGCTGTACACACATATAAACGCAATTACACAACAAAATGCACTTTATGTTTTTAGAAGAAAGATCCAGCATAGATGGTAGCATGTGAATACACAAGTGTGCATGAGACCTATAGAGGGGTTTAATCAGCGTTGTATTGTTAGTCCCTTCTACACTGTCGCATCCCCCATACGGGTTATTAAAGCATGCCACTATACACAGTAACGCCTCTCTACACACCAGACCTTGTAAGTCATGGCTGTTTATCCCGGGCCATAAATGTAATATCATGTCACATGAGAGGACGGGAACGTGTCTCCTCTCCGTATCCTGCAGTATTACCTGAGCGGCCCCCTGTACACAGCACAGATCTCATAGGGATCGTCACACACCACATAACGATCAGCTGCACACTTTGCCAATGACAGCAGCTTGACAGCCTCAGCACATAGGCGACATCCGCCGGAAATCCACAACCCTTACCCCGCCCCCTCAAGAAGAAGCTCCGGAAATACGGTCGTGAGAAGCCATGACAGAGAAGGGCAAATGTTTACCATGCCCTTCCCGCCGACCCGTAGTTTTTTTTTTATTACACTCCACCACAGAAATGTCCTGTGTGCATTCTGATAACAGTACTAGAATATATCCTGACCGCCCCTCATTTAGAATGGAAACCCTTTTTTACACCGCAATTCTCTTTTGTCTGATGTATACACTGCTAGAAATAGGGTTCACCTTTGTAACAACTGCACTTAACTGCTCAGGTGACATATTCCAGCCACCCACGTCACCAGTATAGTAAGCTTCACACTTCAAACATACTCTCCCCAGTGTGGGGGCACTGTAGCTGCCACAGGCTGCCTCTGTACCAAGAGCTAACTGATCACATGACCACTGATCAGCTCTCGGTCTCTGCTCTCAGGGAAGATCAGTTACTGTCATTCACTACTCCCCTCCCCATGAGTTTTCCCCGTGTGGCCGAGTTGACCAATGTTAATCTCTTCTAAGCCTTCTTTCCTGCAGAAAAAAATAAGGCGTTCTCATTGATCAGCACAGTCACATGGTCGTGCTAATTGATAACTGCTCGCTATTGCCAGCAATATGATGCTGCACAGCCTCTGGGGCTATTTAGTAAAGTTTTGAAGTGTACAGCACACTACACCGGAGGTCAGGAGGGAGGTTTCTCTTCACTTCTGGTACTAGAGACACAGCAGGAAGTAAGGTTTGGTGTACCCTTCTGTGTGTAGTCATTTCCTCTGGAGGTGACCCCTCTAGCTACAGTAGGTCTTGAGCATTAGGTTGCACTCTCTTTAATCATGTTGGTGGCTTCGCCTATCTGGTAGCTAGGTCCCACCCTCTGTGGTTACATTAATGCGCTTGGTATTGCTTGCTGCAAACTGTGGCATGCTGGTTAGAGGGGGGTTATCCTGGGACTGGCTTACAATTTCTTTCTGTTTGCCAGTGCACAGTCCTCTTGTAGGCAGCAGTATACCCCGATTGTTGTATCTGCATTCCTGTGTCCCTCAAGGGAGTCCAAGAAAAGAATTTTACGATGAGTGCAAAAATCCTACTTGGCTTTACATAAACTTTTAAAGTGGATCTGAACTGAAAAAGTCAAATTTTGCCATGTTATATAAAACCTTTGGAATGTTAATTGTGCCTAAGCTGTACCCTAAAAAAAGCTAACCTGTATTAAATGCCTTCTGAAAAATTGCAGTGTACTTAGGCATTCCTGTGCATACAGACTCATAGCTGTATAGTTGAAGTGAGAGGATCTAAGGCACTGTTGTCCCTGGCTGGAAGTCTCAGAAGATTTGGAGTAATATTTGAAGAGGTCACTCCTGTGATGCTCACTCTTCTACTTACTGGAGGCTTTGAAATAAGAAAGGAAAGCTCTACCTCAAATAAAATGGCCACCTCTGCACAGAGACAGAACAGGGCATAGTAACTCAGTAATGGGGAGAAATAAGCTCCCCGGATAAGGAAGACCACAGGCAATACTGGTTACTAGTCTTTTGCCCTCTACCTGCCTTTTGGGCAGTTTCCATCTTTATAGGTGATCAATTTAAAACTGGAGATTACAAAGCAACCAGCAACTAGTGAGACAATGAACTCTAAGGTTAGGGTTATCTAATGTACAGCATAGCTTATAGTTCTGCCATCAGGACTATCTAACAGTCAACAAAACTTATAGAGGGCAGGAAAAAATGCTCCAACACTAGTTCTCAGTTGGAGAAAGAATGCCCCAGGGTTGTTGGTCAGCGGGAGAAAGAATGCCCATTGGGGACCCCCTTTAGCATTGGTGCCCATGAGACCAATTCCTAGAATTGAAATACCCATCCTTAAAACTGGTGTCAGTGGGGAAACCCCATCTGTAGCATTGGTTTAAGTGGGGAAATGCCCCAACCCCATCCCTAGTATTGGTGCCAGTACAACCCCATCCCTAGTGAGGAAATCTCCTCCTCCGAATCTCTAACACTGTTGTTGATGCTGTAGCATTGGTGTGGGATAAAAATTCCAGCCAGAGTGCATCTACTAAGATGAACCCTAGGGTTCCTCTTACCACCAGTAGCCTTCTTGATGGTGTCCAAACCATCTCCTAAGAGACGCTCTTCTGCGAAGGGGATCCTCTCAAGGCATTTCTTCCAAGCAGATTCTGGAAGCTGCGAAGCTGCTTGCAGCTGAAGAAACGTGAAGATTCACAGGAAAAGGTAGGCAGCCTATACACCACTAATCTGAATCTGCCTGTGTCCTTTACCATAAAAGCAAGAAATGGCCACAGCCTTAGCACAAGTCAAGTAAAGGTGCATTCTCTTAAAGCAGAACTCTGGGGAAATCAAGTATTAACCCTTGCAGGGGGGGGGGATACCACCACACTCCAAGAGTCAAGTACTCATTTTATTTCATGTCATTTGCTGCCCTCCTATGCAGAGGCAGATGGGATCCATGTCAGTGGCTGCTTTGTGCAGGAGCATTTGGTAATGTGATCAAAACAGCCAATACACTCCCACTTCTTTACAAATATGCCACACTAAATCTGTGGTGCACAGTCCCGGCCAAAAGTTTTGAGAATGACACAAACCTTAATTTTCAAGTCTGCTGATTCAGTGCTTTAAGATTTTCTTGTCAGATGTTACTATGGTATACTGAAGTATAATTACAAGCATTTCATAAGTGTCAAAGGCTTTTATTTACAATTACATTAAGGTTATGCAAAGTCAATATTTGCATTGTTGACCCTTCTAATTCAAGACCTCTGCAATTTACCCTGGCATGCTGTCAGTCAGCTACTGGGTCACATCCTGACTGATGGAAGCTCATTCTTGCATCATCAATGCTTGGAGTTTGTCAGAATTTGTGGGAGTTTTTTTGTTCACCCACATCTTGAGGATTGACCACAAGTTCTCAATAGGTTAAGGTCTGGAGAGTTTCCCAAGCCACTTAGTTATCACTTTTGCCTTATGGCAAGGTGCTCCATCATGCAGGAAAAGGCATTGTTCACCAAACTGTTCTTGAATGGTTGGGAGAAGTTGCTTTTGGAGGATGTTTCTGTACCATTCTTTATTAATGTCTGTGTTCTTTGGCAAAATTGTGAGTGAGCCCACTCCCTTGGCTGAAACGCAACCCCACACATGAATGGTCTCACGATGCTTTACTGTTGGCATGACACAGGACTGAAGGTAGCGCTCACCCTTTTCTTCTCCAGACAATGCATTTCCCGGATGCCCCAATCAGAAAGGGGATTCATCAGAGAAAATGACTTGACCCCAGTCCTTAGCAGTCCAATCCATGTACCTTTTGCAGAATATCAGTCTGTCCCTGATGCTTTTCCTGGAGAGAAGTGGCTTCCTTGCTGCCCTTCTTGACACCAGGCCATCCACCAAAAGTCTTTGCCTCTGTGTGTGCAGATGCACTCTCCCCTGTCTGCTGCCATTCCTGAGCAAGCTCTGCACTGGTGGTGCCCCGATCCCACAGCTGAATCAACTTTAGGAGACGGCCCTGAAGCCTTCTTCACAACAATTGAACCTCTCTCCTTGAAATTCTTGATGATGCGATAAATGGTTGATTTAGGTGCAATCTTAGAAGCAATATCCTTGCCTGTGAATCCCTTTTTATGCAAAGCAATGACTGCACGTTTCCTTGCAGGTAACCATGGTTAACAGAGGAAGAACAATGATTTCAAGCACCACCCTCCGTGTAAAGCATCCAGCCTGTTTTTCTAACTCAATCAGTATGACAGAGTAGTCTACAGCCTTGTCCTCCTCAACACTGACACCTGTGTTAACTGAGAATCACTAACATGATGTCAGCTGGTCCTTTTGTAGCAGGGCTGAAATGCAGTGGAAATTGTTTTGGGGGATTAAATTCATTGTCATGGCAAAGGGGGACTTTGCCATTAACTGCAATTGATTTGATCACTCTGCATAACATTCTGGAGTATATGCAAATTGCAACCATACAAACTGAAGCAGCAGACTTTGTGAAAATAAATATTTGTCACTCAAAACTTTTGGTCACAACTGTATAGTGCTAATAATAATAAAAAAAGATAGGCAAGTTTATGCTACCCAAACTTTTGACTGGCAGCACTGTAATGTGACATATTAGAGCAGCGTTTCTCAGCCATGGCACCCTTTAATCTATGCAGTATAAAATGTAAAAACCAAAAAAGACTGTGGGTGGCCCCACCAAAGTCCATACCAGCCCATTATTGGAGGGTCTGGTTTAAAATTTAAAGGGGTCGCAACTCAAAATAAATTCACAACAGAAGTCCTCCCATTTAACATAAGTACTGCTGGCCCCCTGTGAAGGCAAGACACTGCAAACATTTCAAGGCACCCCAAGAAAGTCAGTATTAGAGCCTCTATGCCCTTCTATCCCTCCCCTGGCCCAATTACTAAAACTATGATGCTAGTCAGCAGGCAAGACAACAGTTTTTGGAAATATTGGACATTCAGAGGTATGTTGATAAAAACAAGGATTTATTTTTAGTTCTAGTCCCACAACTATGAAGCTAACTTAAAGGAAACGATTTCTAAGACAAAAAGAGGCTGCCGCTGCCAAAATCTTTGCATGAGCTAGTTAAATAACCCTCGTCCTTTAATACCACAGCAGCCTTCATATTGCTTAGGAAAAGTTTACATTCATTTTGTGTAGTAGCTAGTTAGGCTACAATTACATAGGAAAATATAGTCTTCTATACACATATACAAGTGATGTAAATATTGCCAGCAATTTATAGTCTGTAATTAAATATACACAGAACCATCCACATTTGCTCATTACATACACAGACTTCGTAAAGAATGGTGCTGATTCAAACTTGTGCAGCCTTCTTGAAGTACACCTATCATGAAAGAATCATTTTGGTCACTATTACACATTGTTTCTTTTGAGTCTTAGATGCCTGGCTGTAATGCCAGTGTTTTGGCTTCAATGCTTTAAAGAACTCAAGCAAATGTAAA